CGGCCGGATGTCGACGGGGTGCCCTCCTCGAACACACGTCGCCGATGTACGACTGTTGTCCCGCGCGCGGCCCCGGGGGCTCCTCCCGCCCGCTTCGCCCGGGGACTGGAGATCTCAGCTGCCGCGATATACGCAAGACGCAACACGTATCGTAGTGCTTGACGCGGAGCTCAGCACGCAGGCTGACAACGTATAGGTCCGACGCGAAGCGTTCGCCAACACGTGGTCCGAAACGTGCAGCCAACGCGCAACGCATTGACACGGACGCCTTGCACACGGGACGCGTGGCGTTTCACAACGGGCGCACCGAGGCAACTGTAAGCTGGAGACCCGTTTTTTTCCTGGGAACATCTTGAGATCATGCTGCTGCTGCTGCTGCGGATTCGATGTCGCCCTCCACTTGCAACTTGCCAGGCCTATGTGATTACCTTCGGGCAAATCGACTTCTTGCACCTTGCAGAGCATAGATTGACGGGCGGCACCTCGCACAGGGCAACAAGCCAAACCACAACGAACGCTGGGGCCAACGCTCGACGTGGCCCCGCGGGGCCCGAGGGACGCGCTGCGGAGCGAGGCCCCCGGGTCGAGGAGCCGCGGCGGGGCGGAAGCGGCCGGGTCGTCGGAGCTCTGGCCGTGCGGGCGCACTGCAACCCAGCCTGGGCGCACTGTTGCCAGGAGTTTGTTTTGCGATTTTTCCCGGGGGTGCACAGACCTCCTACCCAGACCCCTTCGGGTCATGAAGAAAAATCGCGACGGGAGGTTTTTCGCCATTTTCGGCCTCCGGGGGCCCTCGCCGGGCCTCGGGACCGCGAAAGCACGACGCAGGATGAAGAGCTGGTCAAGGGGAGTGGGTCGGGACCTCTGGGGGTCACGCCATGAAGAATCATGACGTCGGGGGTCTGGCCTACTTTTATGATTGGCATCACCTGATCTCGATGCAGCTCTTCTGGGTTCCCTCAGTGTCGGAGGGTGCCTCCCTAAGATTGTCATCGCATTTGGGCCGTGTCCACCATGCTGTCAAGTTGTCTTCCCCCTTATCCTAAGATGGGGATGCTGTTATTAGTCAGGCGTCTCCAACTCACCTCCTTCCTTCCTTCCTTCCTTCCTTCCTTCTTTCCTTCTCCTCCGCCTCCTCTTGCACACAATCAGACTCACCCACATTCAGACTCACGCATCACACTCAGATGCGCTCGCACTACGACTCACTCACCCTCAGACTCACTCACACTCAAACTCACTCACCCTCAGACTCGCTTACACTCAAACTCAACACGACCCCATCACTTCCTCACTCATATTCCTCATACTAAGAACCACTCATACTCATATGTCGATTTAGTTATGTGGCTGGGCACTTCAGGACTCGTGCCCAGATAGTCGGGATGTCTCAGGCGGTTTGCTCGCTTCTGCCCTCCCAAGCACTTCTTTCTTTTGGTGGTCCACTGTTCACCGCGATATAGCAGGCGTCGCAATGTGGCACCCCAAAGGGGGGCCGCCATGGGTCAGGAACTTCCAAGATTCGCGCGCGGATGTCCCAAGCTGTATGCCTGGTTGCGTGCGCAGCATCCTTTTCTTTCGGAGAAGTTTGTGAGGAAGTCTCAAGCAAGGCGTTGGCTGCAGTACTCCTAAGGGGGAGCCGCCGGGGTGGGGACACTCCAGGATTCGCGTCCAGATTGCGCGAACGTCTCAAGCGGTTTGCCTGCTTTGCAGGCGCAGCATCCCGAGGCGTTGGATAAATTCATAACTTCGCATGACGAAGTGCCCCGTGAACAACAACCAAGCGAACGATAAAAAAAAAAAAACGTAGTTTTAGGGATAGGGGTCATAGCGAGGCTGGTTGGCACTCTGCGCCCCCCAGGGTCAAAGTCGAGACGGGGGCGGAGACGAGGGTGGGAGGAGGGGTGGTGGTGGCACGGTGGCATGAGACATGGTGTCAGTGCTCTGGATGCTGCATGCAGCTGGATGCTACAAGCAAAAGGAAAGTCGGCCCGCCTGCGGGGGGGGGCCGAAGGAGAAGCAGACCCAGACGTCCAGCCGCTCCAGTTGTTTCGAGGCGTCCGCCCCGGAGGTCCATCCCACTTCCCTGGGGCCGGCTTCTCGTCCTGAGCCGCTTGTTGACTCTCGCGAGGCCCGGCGTGGGCCCCCCGCGAGGCCGAAGACTGCCCACATATCCCGCCACTCCTTTTCTGGGGGGAGCGTCGGCTCTCTGGGGGGGACAAGGACCCGGACCCCCGACGTCATGACTTTTTCATCACGCGACCCCCAGAGGTCCCGACCCCTTCCCCAGGACCAGCTTTTCATCCTGAATCGTTGTTTGACGGTCCCGAGGCCCGGTGAGTGCCTCCAGAGGCCGAAAATAGCGAAAACCTCCCGTCGTGATTTTTTCGTGACCCGAGGGGGTCTGGGGAGACAGCACACGCAGGGGGCAAGCAGGGCCAGCTCTGCCTCGCCTTCGTGCGCCAGCGGCCCGGCCGGCGGGCCGACCGCGGGGACGGGGGCCCCGCGGGGCGTCGGCAGGCCGCCGCTGCACGGGAGGCCCTCGCGGCCCGCCGCTCTCGTGGGCGCGGAGGGCCGCGGGGCCTCCAGGACGGCCCCGAGAGGGCCCCGAGACGGCCCCGCGAGGCCTCCAGGACGCCCAAAGACGGCCTCCGAGGCGGCCCTGGAGCCCCCCCCAAGAGGGCCCGAGGTCGGCCTGGAGAGGCCCCCGAGACGGCCTCCGACGGCGTCATAGGGGCCAGCGCGCCCACCAAGACGGCCCAAGATGACTCCAAGATGGCCCAAGACGGCCCAAGAGGCCCCCAAGAGGTCTCCAAGACGGCCCAAGAGGTGTGTGTGTGTGGAGCGGCACGACCCCGAGGGGGCCTGGCGGCACCCATAAATGGCTCGACGGAGGTGAGGGTGAGACGCAAGTGTGCTCGTCGTCGTCGTCGTCGTCGTCGTCGTCGTCGTCGTCGTCGTCGTCGTCGTCGTCGTCGTCGTCGTCGTCGTCGTCGTCGTCGTCGTCGTCGACATGAGAGCCTCGCAATGTCGTCGGCCCCCTGCAGCGGAGCGGAGTCTCGGGAGGAGGCGGAGGAGGAGGAGGAGGAGGAGGAGGAGGAGAAGGAGGAGGAGGATTCGCTGGGAAGGATTAGCATCGATGCCGTCCTCGCGGCACAGCCCGCACCCGCCCCCAACATCACCGTGAAAGTCGAAACCAACACAGCAACCCTGGGCGCAGGGAGGGCCGCCAATTAACAGGCACATCTCGCGCCAACTCTGAAGGTCGCGGAACAGCCCACCTCCCTCCAAAGGGGGCTGACCTTCAGCTGGCTGGGGTTCCGCAGGGCGACCCAGGCCCGCGCCTCCAAAGAGCCACTCTGCCGCCTCTTCCTCTGGGTGAAGGGGCACCACCAGGGGCTGAGAGGACACGCTAGGAGCCTCCGAGAGCACTTCTACCTGGTCTCTCGGCGCGGCCCGGCTGACGGAACAGGTCCGTGGGTCCCAGGGACCACCGCCTTCTTGGACGCGCATGCATCGCAGCGAGGCCCGACTTCGGCGGTCCCTCCCGCCGCGGATGTGAATGAAGTCTGATCCGAGCCAGGCTCGCCGCTCCGTCGGGACACTTTCCCCAGCAACAAACATCCAAAAGACGGACATCTTCCGTCGCATATCGGGGATGGACAGCACCCCCTTTAGTAACACGTGGTCTCGTGAAAACAACATCGGGCCCAAACCTGGCGGGAGCAAGCCTGGAAAGTGACGGCCGCGGCGCCCTCTTGAGAACCGAGCACGGACAATTCACTGATCGACGTGTCGGGGTGGGGAGGTTCTGCCCACCCCCGAGCACACTTTGAGGGAGAGCGCGGGGGCAACGAGGAAGACTTGGGAGGCGGCTCGCCGCTGCCGTGCAGCCGCTCTGGCAGGCCCTCCCCCAGAGGTGTCCAGGCGGTTCCTCTCCTCGCCCCGGAGAGTCGGCACTGCGCCGCCCCTGCAGACGTGCTGCAGCGGACTCTTGCGTGGAGTTCCGCCCAGGCACAGCCCCGGAGCGGCGACTGAAAACCGAAGCGAATTTCGCGTGGGTTGTTCTTGCTCTCTTCATTCCCTGGCCAACAAAGAATCCGCACGGAACTCACCTCGAAATCCGGAACGAAATTCTCCAGGGCACTCGCCGGGCCCATCCGATCGCTTTCCGAACGAAATCCGCTCTGCGATGTTGGGGCCACGAGAGTCGGCACCTGAGCCGGTCCTGGAGCGCGTTTTGACCTCGATCTCGGGCCGAGTCCGGCCGTGGCGACGCGGACTCCCTGGGAGAGGCCAGCAAAACGATAATGGAATCCTCTTATCCTCTTATCCTCTTCCTCCTCCTCCTCCTCCTCCTCCTCCTCCGCCTGCCCCTCCTCCTCCTCCTCCCCCTTCCTCCTCTTCCTCCTCCTCCTCCTCCTCCTCCTCCGCCGCCTGCCCCTCCTCCTCCTCCCCCCTTCTCCTCCTCCTCCTCCTCCTCCTCCTTCCTCCTCTCCCCTCCGCCGCCTGCCCTCCTCCTCCTCCCCCTTCCCTCCTCCTCCTCCTCCTCCTCCTCCTCCTCCTCCTCCTCCTCCTCCTGCCCCTCCTCCTCCCCCCTTCTCCTCCTGAGCCACCTCGATAAAACGAGAAAGCGCGGCACCAGCATACACTTCACACGGTCTGCGCGGAATTCTCGGATCGGCACCGAGCCCCGCCGCGCTCCGCGCGCCGCGGGCGGCGCCGGAGGCGCCGCCAGGGGGGTCCAGCGCCGATCCAAGAGATCCGCGCAGAGCTCCGGAAGCTTATGTTTATGCACCTGCTGCTTCTGCTTCTTCTTATTATTGTTCTTATTATTCTTGTTATTATTATTACTATTATTAGTATTGTTATTATTATTATTATTAGTATTATTCGTATATTATTATTATTGTTATTATTATTATTATCATTAGTATTATTATGATTCTTGTTATTCTTGTTATTCTTCGGCTCGAGCCGGGAGGGCGGCGGCGGCGCGCGTCCAATCTCGTTGAAGCAGTGCACGTGCCCGTCCGTGGTCAGCACCAGGTGGCAGGGCCGCCAGGAGCGCAGCAGCTCCGGGCCCTGCGCGCCCCCCGACACCCCGCCGCCTCGGGGGCGTAGAATTAGATTCGGCTTCCAGGGCCGCGCAGATTTTTGGAGCCGGGTTCGGCTTCCAGCCCAGACCCCCTCGGGTCATGAAAAAAATCACGACGGGAGGTTTTTTGCGATTTTCGGCCTCCGGGGGCCCTCGCCGGGCCTCGGGACCGTCAAAAAAGGACTCAGGATGAAGAGCCGGTCCCAGGGAATGGATTGGGACCTCCGGGGGTCGCGTCATGAAAAAATCATGACGTCGGGGGTCTGGGAAACAGGTGCGCGGTGCTCGTGCCGTGGCTGCTGCTGCTGCAGCGGCTTCGCAGACCCAAACTCCTGGGCCTCCTCCCTCCTCCCTCCTCACTCCTCCTTCTCCTCCTCCTCGTCCTCCTCCTCCTCCTCCTTCCTTACTTCCGTCCTTCCTTCCTTCCTTCCTCCTCCTCCTTCCTTCCCTCTCCTCCTCCTGAGGTGGAAATGGCGATGATGAGGTGAAAATGGCGACGATGAGGACGAAAGATGTTCCTTCTGAGGTGAACATGGCGATGACGAGTTCGACCGATAACGTCGGCGCCGCCGTCCGGACGGCGTCTGGACGAGCTGAGTGCAGACCGTCCAGGGGGAGAGAGATGCATTCACGGTGCGTGGGGCCCCCGCGCGCGGAAAGCTGATGGGAGCGCGGGAGACAGCGCAGGACGCATCCAGGGACGCTCATGGCCGAACCCCTTTCCCCCGTGGAATCTTAACACGGGCGGGCGCTGGGGTCCGCTGATCCGATTTCGTCTGGCTCCCCGTTTTCCTCTACCAGTATGAATTGAAAACGGGGTAGAAATCGGATCCGCCGTTCAAAATAAGGCCAGAAGCGGATCCAGAAAATCGGAAATCGGATCCGCGTGGACGGACATCGGATCCACCAAAACAAAAACCAAAACCACAATTGGATCCGCTCGACTTTCGTTGGATTCGACGGCGTGATCTCATACGCGTCTGCTCAAGACTTCGAACCGCCGGTCCAGGCCCAAGAGGAAAAACTTTCGCCCTGGGGATGTAGGGGCTCCATGCTCGTCGCCGTGCATCGGTTCATCTACCCCCCCCCTCCGCTTCAGCCCCCTCCCCTGCCACCGGCCCCCTGCCTCTGCTGGTGCGAAACAAAGGGTCGAAGGCTTGTCCTGCAGTTCGCGAGGGCGGAGTGGTTGCAGCGACCGTAACGCAAAATTGCATACATCCTGCTGCTCACCCCCGCTCCGATCTCCCGTCGCCATGTCTCCCTCCCTCCCTTCGGATCCCGCTCCCCGTGCTATCCCACCTTCTGCTGCATTCCCCCCCCCTGTCTCTCTCTTTCTCTCCCTTCCCCTTCTTCACTCCACCAGCCCCGCCTCCCTCCTGACCTCTTCATCTTCCTCCTCCTCCTCCTCCTCCTCCTGCTCATCATCGTCATCCTCCCCCTCATCATCATCCTCTTCCACTTCCCGTCCCCCTCATCCTCCCTTTCCCCGCCCCCCGTCTCCCCCTCTCCGCCTGCCGCTCGCGGCCCGTCGATATCCGGAACGCTCTGGGAGGTGCCGTTCTTGCTGCAGGGAAGACCCTGCACTTCTCTCTCTCTATATATATATGTGTAGATAATTATGTGTGTGTATACATATACATATACGTATAACTAACTATACACGTACATCTACACTTGCGGGCCTGACTGTATATATATATATATATACATATATATATATATATATGTTTATGTACATTCTTAGAAGTATATCGATATATCACCCTTGCGGCAGCCGGCCATGCCCGGAGCAGCTGCAAGCTTCGAGGAGCCCAGTCCGGCGGCGAGCCCAAGGGGGAAGTAAGAGAGGGGGGGGAAGGGGGGGGGGAGGAGGGGGGCAAGCTAGGTGCGCTCGCGTCATATCTTACGGAGTCCCACCCCTCCCTCCCATCCCTTACCATGGCGTAGATCTCCTCTCGATTCGCACAGTCGGATGCCGAGCTGGGCAATGATCCCGAAAGAATGCGCGATGCATCGTAGAGCACGGCATAACAGGGCGTAGAAGAGCACGGCAGAGCGTAGTACGTCATAGCATGGCGTAGCGTGACGTGGTGAAGAATTGCATCACAAAGCGTTACAACGCAACTAGCTGCATCGCGCAGCGGCACAGAAGACAACAGAACATGGCATAGCATGACGTTGAAACTCAAAGCGTAGCATGGACATAGCATGGCGTGGCACTGCGTGTGACCCCTGTGCTGGGGGGACCCCTGTGTGCCAGGTGCTCGGGGGACCCCTGTGTGTGACCCTGGGCTTAGGTCGGGCGTGTCCCACTACAGGCGGATTTTGGGAGGAGGAAAATTGCCAAAGCACATCCACCAAAGATTCAAAAGCAGCCCAAAAACCGTCCATCGTGCCCAGACTACTTGTTGACTATGTTCGAATATTCCTCCTCCAGAGGGACACGCCCGACTGAACCCTGGGCAGGAGGGCGCGGCCACACGCAGGAGGGGCCCTGGGCAAGCGGGGGGACCTCCGGTGCGCGGACCGAGGGCGGCGCGCAGGGTGGCCCAACCCAAGCGCGCAAGCAGCCGCTGCGTCGCATCGCGCTCCGCGCTCGGGGGGCTCGGGGGGCCCCGTGAGCCTCGGGGCCCTGCGGACCGGGGTCCATCCAAACCCGGGCCAGTCGGGCACTGCATGCCGGAATCCTGCATGCAATGCCTGACTGACCCAGATCTTGGATCCTCCAGGATCCTGGATCCTTGGGTGCAGGATCCTTCAGGATCCTGGCTCCTGAAGGATCCTGCACCCAAGCCCGGGCCAGTGCGACCCTGGCCCTGCAGGGTCCTGCGCCCGAGCCCAGGTCGAGGCGACCCTGGCTCTGCAGGATCCTGCGCGAGATCTGGCGCTCTGGTGCACCCCCGTCTTAAGCCCCGGTGAGCTCGCACTAAAGGTCCCTCCAACGAAAGGTCCGGCCGCGGACGCCCAGCTGGTCCGAGGCGCCTCCCTCGACAAGCCGAGCCCCGGGCCCCGCAACGCGTCCTGGCTATAGGGATCTCGCTGGTGGAGAACGCCGTGGCGGCGAGGGCGCCGCGGAGGGCCCAAAGGGAACGTCCTACCCTGAGATCCGACGTAGCAACAAACCTTGCAACACCGCGAAAATCCGCGCCCCGGAGCCCTGGAGCTCATCTTTCTGCGCCATTTTTCGAGCCGCATCGATTCGCGAGGGTCCCGGGACCTGAAAAAAGGCGAAAACGCCCGGCTCGACAAAATGAATCGCCAGGATCTCAGGGTACGCGTTCTCCTGTACAGCAGGTTCGCGCGGGGATGACGTCGACGCTGGTTCCTGCCGCCCCAGGCATCCGGGCGTTCAAATCTTATCGATGCGTGGACCCCGGAGGTCCTGGCGAGGGCCGCCAGAAACCAATCCCGTCGCTCCAATTCGCCGCTCCAATTGTTTGGGGAGCGTCGGATCTCTGGGACGATCGTGGCTTCCTGATAGCGCAGGCCGTTCGATATCGGCGGGGCGTCTCAGGAAGCCTCTCGGCTCACCTCGGGTGCGCCTGGGGGTATTGCCGCATCGTGGACCGCGGCATGTTCGCGGACGAGGGGTGCACGGAGAGAAACAGGAAGACAGTTCTCAGGCGGGGGGGATGGGGTTGGGAGAGATGGGGGTATCACTGCCCGTAGGCGGCCGAAGGTATCGCGCATTGCATCCGAATGATATCGCTCATGCCCTTCATCCTCCCAAGCCCTTCCTTCCACCACGATGCACTTGTTCTCCTCAAAGAGAAGGGAGAAGGAGGAGGATGGGGGGCCGTGGGCCGCGAAACGTGGGAGAACGCATGGCCCCAGCCATGACACCCAACCCCCTCTGATACACTTGATGATGCTGCTGATGATGCTCTTGATGGTGATGATGTCGATGATGCTCGATGCTGTTTTTTTAGAGCATCCTCAACAGCAACAACAGCAACAATATCAGCAACACCACCAAAATCAGCACCCCGCTTCGAGGCGCCCGACCGGCCATGGCCTGCTCCTTTCCTCCCCGAGGCTTCCCCGGACTTCCGGCCCGCCCGCCCGCCCCTCCTTGGGCGGCCGCCTCATCGGCCCCTGGCACTGCACGAAGATCGAGGGCGGCAGCGCCGGGAAGGAAGGGTTCGCGAGCTCCTCGCCGCCTGCGGAGAAGCGCGGCGGGTGCGCGGAGTGGTCATGCGTATCCCAGGAGTTCGCCAACGCAACCACTGGAACATTACGGCAGGTTCGTGTCGTGCCGACCCCAGCGTTGGTTTTTGACACCGCAGGGATCGTTCAACCTTGAACGATCGGCCGCTGCCGCAACGTCCGATCGTTCAACATCGATCGATTCTGGGTCGCCGGCGGCGTTCAACCTTGAACGCCCGCGCTGGGGTCGCCGCTGGTCGACACGACGCAAACCTACCGTACCCGTGTAGAGCTTGAGAGCAGGTCGAGGACAACGCACCCCCGATGCCTCGAAGCATGCGCTTCACCGGGTAGGACTGTTCAGCTCCAGCCAATCTGAGGGAAACTTCGGAGGGAACCAGCTACTAGATGGTTCTTGATTAATTAGTGAGGGTAGGATGAGAGGGATGCAGACGAGATAGCCTGTGCGTCTCTCGCCGCCGCTTTTGGGCCTCCTGGGGGGAGGAGGCTTGGGGGGGGGCTCGCGTCGCGACGGATGGGTTCGCCGCGAGATCTTGGTTAGGACGCGCTCCATAGCAGGTATGGGGGTTGGCTTTGACAGGAGCAAAGAGGGATGTAGAGCACCGCTCCAAAGCAGGAGGGGCCCTCTGGGGCTTGACCTGGCCAGACAACGACGGCGGCAGCGACGCCCAATGCGGCGGCGACGGCGACGGCGAAACTCCCCCACGCGGCAACGGCGCGTCCGACGACCACGACGGC